AAACAAGGTCACCCATGGGATTAACATTATTAATTAGTTAGCTCTCACAATGTCTTCCTGTTATCCCCATCAGACAGCAGAAAAACTGAAACACATTTAAGGACAGTGGGGGCCAGAGCTCAGAGGAGGCAGAACAGGCAATCTGCCATCTGAGTCTGTGCCCGTGATGGCTACACAAAACCCATCTTACAGACAACTTGCATCTCAAAAAGTCAGAAGGGCATGATGTTCATGAGAACAACAGATCAGGGTATCGCTCATCACTCACCGTTGGGGAACGCCAGCACGCTGATGATGAGAAAGAAGAAAATAACTGAGAGGATGCCTCTCCAGATGTTGTCTTCAGGAACAGAGTCATCCCTGAAAATAGAAGACACAGACAATTCATTCTCAGATCTAAATAGGAAACCAAAATGCAGTACACTTTCCACAGTCACCCGGAGACTGCAGATTTTCTTTTGCTGAAGGAAGTCACTGCACACAGTTTAGGGGTCAGTGTCATTTCCTAAAACCAACACTCTCATAATAAAGACCAGTTCTTACAGGAAAAGCTTCCGGAGGCTGAAGGTATAGCTCAGGAGTGCTCTGTGTGTTTAGTACACACAAAGCTCATCTCCACCACCAAAATTATATAAATAAAACTGATCATTTTAAACACCAACTTACATTCTACTCAGACATGCATCTGAGACCTACTGTTCTTCAAACACAAAAAACAAAACCCCAGGATGTCAAAGCACAAGGTTTGTTTTTGAGAAATGTCTTTTGATGGTAAAAATAACAAAAGATGCACTTCGCTGTCCAGGAAGTGGCAAGAAAAATTTCAAAAAGTCAGAATGGAACAAGAAATCACCAGGAAGGCAGCAATATAACAAGATTATATCAACTACTCTTGAAAATGGGAAGCTGGGGACCTATAGGATGTAGGAAGAGGCATGAGAACAGGTAACAAGAAAGTGACCAGTAAAAAGAAAATCAAGAGGGGAAAAAAAAGAAATCACAAGATTTAAAATCAGAGCAGAAGCAGAATGATGAAGAAGGAAATGGCTACCCTTCCTCCCGATCATGGCCTCTCTAAATATCTAGTGCCCCATCACCCCAGTGACTGGACTGGTCCCCTTGGTGGTGGATATGTTGTTCCCTGTCTACCTTGCCAGAGCATACTTTTGAAATAGAGACTTACTCCCTTCTGTTCTTGGGACCTGATACATGCTACACACTCAACAGATACTGCAGACTGACTTTTATAAGGAGGAGCTACTTTGTAAACACTATGTCAGACACTTTATATTGATAGACAGACTGACAGACTGGCAACATATGTGGCACTCAAGAATAGCAAAAGCAAAGGAGGAAACAGAAATGTAAGACAAGAAGGAGGTTTCCTGAATTATTGATAATTTCTGAGAATCTTGGGAGAAGAAAGTTCAGCACTGCAGATTTTAAAATGCAGAATGAGTAGGCAGAAAAGTATGGCATGAAACAGAACTGAAGGAGATATTTTAAAGACAGGGAGACAAGTAGCAAGCAACTAAAATTGATAAAAAGAAGCTGAATTTATGCTGTGCAGTGGTGGTGTACATTGGAGAAGCAGAGGCAGAGACAAGTGGATCTCTGAGTCCAAGGCCAGCCTGGGCTATAAAGTAAATTCCAGGACAGTCAGGGCTACGCAAAGAAACCCTATCTCGCAAAATGGCTGTATAGGAGGAATACAAAATCTTCGTTCAGACCAACATCCCACTGCCCTTGCTGTGAGATAGTGGCAACAGCAGCTCCTCTTTATCAAGCATTTAGTTCGACAGGCAGTTAATTAACAATATTGCTAATTTTCACAGACAAATGCAAGATAGATGTTATCAACCACATTTCAAAAATGTCACAACTGCTCAGGAAGGTTGAGTAACTTTCCCACAGCACAAGTTAGCAGATGCAGCATGGGCATTGGAACCAGGGCTGCTAGATCCCAGGGGTGATGCTTCTCCTATGCCCAGCTGCTGGGTTTTTCCTGACCCAGGAAGTCAGTGTGAGTCAGGACAGAAGCAACGAGTAGGCAGGAAAGACTTT